CGCTCCAGCCACTTGAGCCATCTCGCCCCATTCGTATTCATGACAAAGCCATAGAACGGCAAAATAATCATTCCTTGTTGTAGATGGTACTATGAGCCGAACCAATCGGTTGTCCAGAGGAATAGTAAAATATTGGTCGTTGTATAAATGAACGCCAACACCGTCTCCCCAAATATAGATGCAAATTCCACCAACACGGCTATAAGATATGGGTACATCAATTTGTATGGGTTGACTTGATATTAAAACAGCATGTAAGTCCATCGTTCGGTCATGAGCTCATGTTCAGTTTAACACCAATTTTTGTATTAGGCTACTAGTCATAGCCTTCCTTCTACAACAGTATTCTGATTTGTTTTTGTCCTCAAAATGCCGAATGAGAATTTTACCCATGTTCTGAGTGCAATTGCTCTCATTTTCGTTTGTTTAGCTCTTGACCTCTGGTTACACAGCTCATTTGGCCGCCCTGCTATCCGGTCACCCTGCATCCCGACAAGCATCCAGCTGCATCAGCATTTCGCCGCACTTTCTAACCTATGAGTTATCCACCCCTGCCAGCACCGTTCGCACATGTCCAGCGCAACCAGTCGTTCCTTCACGGTCTCCGTTGAATTCCGGGAAGCGTTTCTCATTCAGCTCGGGTACAACCTAGCTTGCTTTAAGATCCCACATACACGCCGTGTACAGCTTGTCAAACTCCTCTTCCGTCGTTGTAAGCCTGCACGCTCCGCGCTAGAGCATTTCATTCCAATTTTATACCGAAAGATTCCATTCGATTCGCTGTCCTATCCGTTCTATTTTCAGGTCCTGCCGTACCTGCGATTATTTCACACACACACATTTATTTACGTACATTTTTTGACTAAATCCAGTCGCCACATGCCCTCTCTTCCAACTGTCACGTCACATTCTCTCGTCATTCTATGTGTAATTCCTACAAATCTCCGCGTCTATCTCACCGCCCATATCACCAACGCAAACGACAGCCATGCTCAGTTGTCTTCCACCTTTGAGCATTTGTGATGATTGGTTAGTGTTCATTTTCTTTGCTGGATTTCATCTTCTGTGATTCATAATGTAATGACTTGCGTATGCATTTGCCTACAGATAGTTGTCGTCGTTGTTACAGTCCAGCTGTCAGCCCAGCTATATTTCTGTCCGCTCGTCCAACGTCCTGGAAATTATCCCTCTGTTCCCGTAGACTACTATCATCTGAGCAAATATAGATGGCTGTGAAGTCTTGTCTCTCACCAGACTTATGTCCTTTCTCTTGCGTGCATCTTGTTACACTGCTCTGCGTTCAACTATACTCCCTTTTTTTCTTAGTATGCAATCCCTAGAAAGCCTTAAGGGCTTACCCATGCTTTTGACGGGGACGTCCCAGAAGCCATTTAGCGAACTCGAGTCGGGACCCGTCGATTAGAAAATCGCACTTTACTTTCTTTTGTCTGACAAAACATTTCATACAGGCCGAAAACAAGGATTTAGGACGAAATCTATCCGTAATGCAATTCCCCATCACTGCCAGGGCGAGATGGCCCAAGTGGTTAGAGCGCGAATTTACTGACCGGAAGGTCCGTGGTTCGAATCCGACCTCCGACACTCGACTTCCCCTGTCTAGGCTTGGGCAACCTGGCAGTATCCCAGCCCTCATGTTTCCTTCGGGTGGCATGACAGCTAGGTACCGGAAGGGTGCTACAGCTGAACGCTTTTTGAACGCCACTGAAATCGGTTGATCTTCCTTTGGATGAACTCCAGGAGGGAGGCCCAATAATTCCACACATCTACGGAGTCTTTGAAAATAGTTTCCATATATATGTTTACTGTTTTCGTCGGTTCGTCTTGATCCTGAATTGTGGATACTGGTGAGTTACGTTGAAATTTTATGAACCTTCCACAGCAACTCGAAATCCCCGTTCACTGTGGGGAACTCCGGTTTGATGCTGCTGGTTATCTGTTTTTCCTCATCCCCGAACCACATATTTCCGCCCCGTCGGGCTTATCGCGATAACAATTGGTCGTAAACAGTTTGTGGTCGTGGTTGGGTCGGAATTCGCACCTAGATGTGCCGGTAGCTTGTTTGCGTATCTCTACGTGCCTCTGTTGCAGCCTTATTAGCAGAGTCGCCGTAATGCCATCAGTCCATAGACTGGATCAAAGGAAACTCGCCATTCTTATCTGGCTAATTCTCGAAACCGTGCCTTTCCTGACGCCTTAGGGAATGTTTTAGGCGAGACGCTCAACTTATTGGCACTCAGAACGCACATATCAAACCACTGTTCTGATGGAAAGACTGCGGTTTCAAAATAGTTGGATTTATTGGACCGAAACCGCCAGCTTCTCAATCATATGCTCGGTTCAACGGTACAATTTAACACTGAATCTCAGATACGTGGTTATAATTTTGGCCCCAGAGAGATTTCAAAGCTCTTTGGGAATTCGTTAACAATTTTAAATAGGCTTCACTTAATAATGTACCAATCGTTCAGCTTTAATATCCTTTCGGTGCCTAGACGCCATACTCCATGAAGAAAGCATGAGGTCTGAGATACCTATGCAAGCCCAATAGGAGCAGTCGAGATGCCAAGATTGGGTTCAAACCACGGTGGTTCCGATCAGTAACTTCGGGCCTTGACCACCAAACTATTTCGAGCTCCACGTGCTCAGTTTTCAATTGTTCTCACCCCCCCCCCCGGGAAAGCATGAGGTCTGAGATACCTATGCAAGCCCAATAGGAGCAGTCGAGATGCCAAGATTGGGTTCAAACCACGGTGGTTCCGATCAGTAACTTCGGGCCTTGACCACCAAACTACTTCGAGCTCCGCATGCTCAGTTTTCAATTGTTCTCACCCTCCCCCAGGAGCGTTGTAGCGAGGTAGATAAAGTTTATAGACCTTGAAAGTTCTTGTAGCTGCTCAGATTGGTTGGTGGTTGGTTCGTTTGCTGAGAAAATCGTGATACAACTGCCTGACTATATCTGTCACTGAAGAACTTTAATCAGATTATTTTACAATTTACCCTATTTACATTGCTCACCTACTGTCCAACACATTCAAAATGTGCCGGAGTGGATCATGCAAATCTGTCTGTCAGCTTGTCCATCAAACTGCGAATTCTTTAGCTTCCCCTTATGTTCATCACCAACTACTATCGTATTTCGGGGAAGAAAGATCAACACTACATAGCATTCTTCCTAACGCGTACAATCGACTACCTCTCCCACTTTGAGAATATTATGTGGCCGGGAGACAACCTCCACGCATCCACTGCATGTTGAATTTTTTCGCCTATGTATTCGGTTCCATGGATATCATCTAATTGGTGGGATTTATATTGGCAAATAGAGCGCTGGATCAGATGGCACACAGTTTATCTGGTAAATAACAAATGGGCAGCGTTGTGTCATTTTGAGTGCGGCGCTCAAACGACTCTTAATAATGAATAAGTCACCGTTACGGTCTCATCATCATCAAAGACAGCAACATCAGATCAGT